CCCCCCTCCCCTGACGAGCCGCTATGTCTGGTCGCGACTACGTCGGAGTGCCGCCAAACGTCCAAACCGACTCGTCACGCCTGTACGAGAACGGGAAAGAAGATTGAATTTCATGAATTATCAGAGCCACCATGATCATCTCACCATTGCTTTGTGACCATCATGCGAATGCAGGCCTCCCGGCCTCCTGGGGAGCTCCAGAACGGGTTCGGCGAGGGAGTATTACGGCGGCTTGTCCTCTGAGCACGTGTGGCTGGATGTCGTGGGCAAGGACGGCAAGGACACAAAGGAGGCAAAGGACGCAAAGGAGGCTGGGCTGGATGGAAAGGGGCAGGACAAGGATGCCAACACCGACACCAAGGAGGTACGTAGGTGAGGTGCAAGCCAGATTGACATCCTCGTCCATACATCGTCGATTCACATGTGTGCATGGCATTGGCTGCAGCGTCGAGATTCCCTGCAGCTGTTGCTGCGTCTGCAGTCGCTGCTGCCGCACTTCTCGCCCAAGGACACCAGCGGTGCCGACGCACTCACGCCAGAGGCCCGCGAGGAGATCATCCGGCAGCTGCTGCACGAGGCCTGCTGCGAGTTTGAAGTGGCTCTCAAGTCAGAGACGGTCTCAGGTACGGAATGATGAACAGGACACAGACGGACACTCTTGGTGCCTGCCTACCTTACCTGCTGCTGATGGTTGCGCGTGGACGTGCAGTGATTTTGTCGGTTCTGGACCGATACGTCGGGCAGATTAGCGTGCCCAGGGAGGAGGGAGACGCTGAAGGACGAGAGCAGGCACAAGACCAGGAGTGGGAGGGAGATGCCGATGTCGCCGATGACGAGTCGCCGACGGCCGACAGAACCGAGGCCCTGCGGGAGCTGGGCAGCAATTTGCTGCAATTTCGCCACGGCGGCACCACCCCCAGCGCCCCGCAGCCGTCAAGCAGGCTCATCAGACAGCTTTCGATGCGGCAGCATTCGACGCTGAAGGGCGACATCGACAGCCCGCGTCGTCTGCCAACCATGTCGCCACTGGACGAGGGGAGGCAGGACGACAGCTGGCAAGAAAAACAGCAGCGGCGGGCCTCCCAGGCTCAGCAGCGTGCATCCGGGGAAGGCTCAAAGGTGTCCAAAGCAGGGGGCGGTGACGAGCTGACGGCCTGGGAACTGTCCTCGTGGGTCGGCCATAATCAGGTGCGTAGTGTCTCCAACCCACACCCACACCCACACCCACACACATTCATTTAAGCTTATATGCGCTTGTGTGTGTGCGTGTGTGTGTGTGTGTGTATCTGTGCATCTAGCGTGGTGAGGTGTTTGTGAAGCTCTCCCTGACCGTTCTCTCCACCGCAGCGTTGGTGGGGTACGGCCCCTACTTCCTGACCCAGCCGAAGAAGATGGAGATGTTCGGGCTGGGGCTCTTCTTCGCTCGCGGTGCCGCCATGGCCCTGATGATACTCTCAGGCATACTCGTCATCACCATGTGCAGGGGGGTCCTCACGGCATTTCGATGCACATGGCTCGGGCGGCGGTGTGCCGTGCTGCTCGATATGCACAGGGAGTTCCACATATTCGCAGGGGAGCTGATTGTGGTCTTCACCGTCATCCATGTGGCCGCACATACCGGGGGGACGGTGCCGAGTCTGTCGAGCACGACTGACACGGATGGGCTGAATGAGGCCATCAACAATGGCAAGTTCGACGAGCCCCCGAGCTACCTTGACCTGGTTCTCAGCTTACCGGGGTGGACCGGTCAGCGTGTGGATTATCTGTGGGAGAGACAGAGACAGGAGCCTCCATTCATCGCTTGTTCGTTTGTGTGTCCCTCGCTTTGGGGGTGTAGGTGTGGTGCTCACCTTGATCATTGTGGCGATGACGGTGACTTCCCTGCCATCGGTGCGGCACAAATATTTTGAAGTCTTCTGGTCAGATTTTTTCGAAGTGCGGCACAAGCGTTTTCGACACACACTGTCGCTCACGACATTTGATTCCTTCTTGGCCGCCAGGTACCCCCATGCCGTACTCATCTGGGTCTATGTAAGTCGCCTGCACACACACACGCACACACACACGAATGGCGGTGCTACGCGGCGGCCAAGTGACCAGTCAGTCCTCCTGTGCGTGCCTTTGTGTGCGGCAGTTCATCTTCATGTGTCTCCATGGCATGATTGGGTTTCTGAACTGGGGGTGGCCACTTAGCTTAGTCATCATGGGGCCGGCCATGTGCTGCTACCTGGGGGAGAGGCTGTTGCGCCAGTGGCGCTACTTTACGTGGGACGTGCGAGTCAAGTGGGCACTGGTACGCACACACACAGAGAGGGGGGGAGAGAGATGGAGAGATTAGCCAAGAATGAGATCGACGGGCGGAGAAATGGCTGGCCGGATGGACTGAAATGGTGTGTGAGGTGTGTGGTGTGACAGGTGCCGAAGGATGAGACAGTGGTTTTCCTGACACTCTTCAAGCCAAGACAATTCTCCTACAAGTGCGGACAAGTATGGGACGAGGCAGGCCTACCCACATAAGGACACACACGGGAGAGATGGAGTGCGTGTGTGCGCGTGCGCGTCTGTGCGCAGGTGGTGTGGATGTCCTGCCCTGCGATCAGCTGGTTCGAGTGGCACCCCATGAGTATCTGCAGCCACCCACAGACACACGACAGCATCAGACTCATGATAGGCAACGCGGGCGACTGGACTGACAGAGTACATAACACACAACACACAGCAAACCACCAACCAGCACACCTCTCTCTCTCTAGCCAACAATCTGATCTGCACCCGAGAGACAATAAGTACACATATGCGCCCGTTGTCCGTCGTGTGTGTAGTTCATCTCTCTGTGCCACGAGGCCAACCTTGCGGTGACCGAGGAGCGAGGGCAGTTCGGTGCGCCCGTCCCCTTCTACCCCCCAGTGCGTCTCGACGGTCCATACGGTAGGGTTGCCTTTACGTCTCCCACGCAAGAAAGATCAAGAACAGCCTTGTTCTTACTTGTCCATGTCCATCAAGGCGCCCCCGCTCAGTTCAGTGTGTACCAGGTAAGCAGCCACATGTCTCAGCTAGTCAAGCGTCTCATCTGTATCAAATGTCTCACTCACAAACCAGGAGAACGTCGTCTTTGTGGGAGCCGGCACAGGCATCGCTGCTTTCCTCGGATTCTTGCACGCCCAGGTGCTGCAGACATACACACACACACACGCACAGACATGCACTCGACTCGAGCTCGTGGATGGATGGATGGATGCAGTTCAGCCGCGAGTTGAGCGACCACTTCGAGATCACTGAGCACGGGACGCCGGTCCGGGCCGACCCACACAAACGCAAGTTTCGCAAAGCGCACTTCTTCTGGATCTCAAGGAAGCCCACGGGCATGGTAAGTAAGCTGGTGGTCGGATGTATGTGGACCACTCACATGGCTAGGGTGGCTGCGATGCAGGCGTGGATAGCCGAGGAGGCGGTCAAGTTGGTGGAGGACCCGCAGATCTCCTCACACGTGACCCTCCACATCTGCCTGACAGCCAAGAAGCCCCCGCCGCCCCCGCACATCAAGCTCTTCCTGCTCGGCATGCAAGCGGCCTCAAGGGAGATCACCGGCAATGGCAGAGGCAGCACGGCGTCGCTGCGGGGCAGCGGATCACCCCTCTTGCACGCCAAGAACAGCAAACCGACAGGACCACCCGCACCAGCAGCAACGGGGAAGGAGACATCAGCTGCTGGTGGTGGGGGTGCAGAAAAGGGTCGTCGTCCGTCTCAGGATGAGGCTGCGACAAAGATACAGGCGCTCGTGAGGGCACACCGGGCGAGACGTGACGTGGTCAGTCAATCAGTAGAAGGACACATTCTTTCAGAATGCCCATTTGTCTATGCCTGTCTGCCTGCCTGCCTGCCTGCCTGTCTGTTCAGCTTGCCGACCCGCCGCTGCACGTCAAGTTCGGCCGGCCACAGTTCGGTAAGTCAGAGAGAGCAGTCAGGGAGGGAGACAGACGTTCACCTCCCACGTCACACGGGCGGCCATCGATCCATGTGTGTCTTGCCCCAGACGTGGAGTTTAGGAAGGTTTGTCGCGCTGTGAGCCCCCAGGCGGTGAAGATATTCGCCTGTGCCGGCGAGTCGGTGTGTGAGGCCATGGCGGACACCTGCATTCGGCTCAGAAAGGAGGGTTTCACAATCGAGATGATTACCGAGAGCTTTGGGTGAGTCCTTCCCCTCCTCTCCTGATGCATGTATGTGATTGCTGTGGGTTGAGTATGCGCTATGATATGGGTGTGTTTCTATATGTCAGTGTGTCCCTTTCTCTCTGTATGCTCGCTCATTAGTAGCTATAGGACCGAGTGAAGTGCTTTCCGGATGACGATGGATCGACCACGTCGCTCAGCCAGCATCTCTCAGGGCAAATGGTGTCCGGGTGTCGGCATATGAAAAGACAATCAGCCACGCAACGGCAGCCGATCATGTATGAATGAGAATTTTCATAGATGCGTGCATGACATTTGTCACTCTTTGATGGTCGCTTCTATATGTGTCTCTCGATCCGTCCATGTATTGTCTCACTGTCTGGTCTTCCATCCATGAATCCGTCATCCATGCATGTGCAGACGGACCACGCATGCAGCCAGCCAGGCAGGTAGGTAGTCGAAAGAGAAGGCAGTCGAAAGAGCAAGGGAGTGCTGGGAGTGTAGGCAAAACCGCCAACACCTACACCCCACAGCCCAGCCTGTGGTGCGGCAGATCACTGCCTATTGGCGGCACACCAACAGACTGGGCAGCCAGCGAGATCAGACAGACAGACAAAGAGACAGACATTCCCCGTGGGCCCACCATTATGAAATGAAAAGGAAATAGGGTGTCTCGGCCGGTCCCGGTGGATGCGAGCGACTCTGCTTGAGCGTGTTGCCTTGGAATCAATTCACCCGCTGCAATCTGACGCCCATCTTTCCTGCAGCAAACAAAACGCGCAGAAGCCATTATATATATTTCAGTCTCAGTTGGAGAGTGTAGTATGTATATTTTTCGAAGCGTGAGTCATACCGTAGATGTTGAAATACACTGCCTGCGTGAGTCGGAGTCCTGCCTCTTCAGTGAGCTTGATGAAATACTTGAATAGCTCAAATTTGCCCTTACTGTCCTCGTCCCAGCAGATACCCTGCCCTTGCAAGCACATCGTGTTCTCCAGTTGCGCACCGCAGCTGCATGCTTTGCCTTTGAAAAAACCCTGAAGACACAAACCACCGGCCGAATGATTACAAATAGAAAGACGTATCTCGTTCATCCAGTGCTCACATACCGGCACGTTGTTGACGATAAGTATACCGCCCTGATAACATTAGACATTGATGTTACACATATACACACACACACACAGAGACACACACACACAGAGCGAGAGAGAGATGGAGAAGCATGCTAAATGGAACCACTTGATGGAAAGAAAGGCAGATTATTGCCGGAAGGGCTATGGTAATTTACCGGCGCCAGCAGGGACTTTATGTTTTGCCAGAATGAGGTAATGATGTTCCACTGTGGTAGCACCTTTTTCTGCACTTCCGAGAGGGTCACGTTCCTGTTCACAAAGATGTTCCAAAAGATGGTCTACCAACAATATACGAGTGCAGAAAAAAGAACAAGTACACAAGTGCAATATCTTTTACCCCTCATTGGTTTCCCACCTGAGGGCAATACACGAGTACGATTGTCTTGAAGTGGTTGAGTGGCAGCCCGAGTGAAGAATGGGCAGAATACAGCTGCATGCATGAACTCATTCGTGACAGAGAGATACCTAGTGAGTGAGTGGGTGCTATTCCTAAGTATCCGTTACCTGTTGAGTATCAGTGAGGTCGAGCTGCCAGTAGTGGGGCTTGATGGGACTTTTCGCGAGTTTAGACCAGGGAAACGGATGGTATCCCGCGCCGTATCGAGATATGTCCCAGTCCCGAGCCTCCTCGACGATGTGGTGGTCTGCTGTCTCAAACTCCACCACTTCCTCGTTGTTGCGGTATCCGCTGAAGCTACGCGGCAGCTCCACACCACGCTCGTAATCGATGAACGCAAACGAGCCCATAACCGCGTCAAGAGTCCTGTTAGACAACGCAACAAAAACGTGTGCAGTGCATGCATGCATATGTCAGAGGCACACTGGACGTGCACATGCAGACCATTCTGAGGGTGGCACCGACTCCTGGAAGAGGAAGGGCAGCTCCGCGTCCCTTTTGAGTCCGTGAGTAGGGGCGTGGCATCCTGCATTCATGATGGCCACCAAAAGCATTGCATGCATGCAACACGAAGATGATGCGATGCCTGGGCCGCCTGGCTGTTTGCTCGCCCACCGAGGAGAACATCAGGGACAGCAGTACGCCTCTGGAGGAAGCCGCGGCTGGCGTCGGCAACAGACATTGTGGCGCCAGCCCAGAGTCACCGGGAGGCAGCTCAGCAACGGCAGCAGATGGAAGGCAGCCAAAACAACACACGGACGGGGCGACATGATGATAAAGGCTGTTTGACTGAAAGAGTGGGGGCTGGCTGTCGGATGTTTGCTTTTCACGGATTCCCTACACTTTTGACCCTGTCGTAGCGAGACTCTTTCGGACAGCCAGGCGGTCGGTTTTCGGCAGCGCCGAGCGCCTGCGTGAGCTCCTCAACTCGCCCAGCTGATCGAGCGGGAAGGTACGATGAATCAAGGAAAAGAGCAGCAGAGATCTGCATCCATCCATCGTGTGTGTGCGGCTGGGCTGTCTATGTCCGTCGGGGTTCCCCTGTTCGTTTGTCAGCGGCTTCTCAGTGTCTGGTGCACGTTCATTCCCCGACGTGCAGATGCTGGCCTACTCTGAGATGCTGGACGGCTGCCAAGCCATCACAGAGGCCGTCACAAGTGTGTCGCTGATGGCGACACCAGATATGGTAAGCACTGCAGGCGGCCATCTGCACACACGACACGCACATTGTGTTGTGTCGGTCCAACAGGCAATGCGGTCAACGTCAAGAGGACGGTGCAGGTGGCACCCACGAAGTGCGGCTACACTGCCGGCAAGGAGGCCACCCCACTGAAGACGCCTGCGTGCGCGTCAAGGCCGCCATAGACGCGCGGTGCGCTCGGCCACACCGCAGCCATTGCGTGCAGTCTCTCACATGTCATGTCCTTGGTGTGGATGTCTGTGTGTGTCAGGAGTGAGGGCGCTGACATCTGCAGCCTGGCCCGCACCGACGCGCGGGCGTCCCTCGGGTGAGAGAGATGCGAGAGGGAGGAGAGAAGAGAGTCGACAAGCATTCAAGAAACAACTATCGTGTGGGTGTGGGTGGGTGTATGGGTGCAGGCTCGACGAGGCTATCCGCCGCTGCCAGGCTGTCCACGCAATGAATGGGTGCTGACATCGCATCGCATCGCATTCCTGGAGGCACCACGGACCGTCGAAGAGATGCGACGCTACTGCAGGTACCCCTCCACCCACCCACCAACCAACCCGCCCCCAAGCCCGCAGAGACGCATGTGTGTCCCTTCTCTCTCTCTCTCTCTCTCTGTGTGTGTGTATGTATGTGTGGATCACCCGGCCAGTGAGGTGGGCGGTCCGAAGAATGGAATAAACGGAATGTATGGCGTTCGTCGCCATTGTCATTCATCAATCCAAGGGTGCGGCGGTCCTCCGACACGACGCCGTTCCTGGCGGTGCGGTGCAGGAGCTCGAGGAGGTGGGGCAGTACAACCTGGTGTCATCTACTCGACGTCGCTCGTGTCGACCTCCATCAAGGCCGTCAAGGGCGTCCTCCCCCACAATCTCCTTTTTCTCCGGCGGGTTCAACGAAGTACGCCGTGGCCTTCAAGCAGCACCACCAGCAGCAGCCTGAAGACGCCCACCGACTCTTGGTCCAACTCGCCCGACTCGAAGCACTTCGGCGCGACCAGTGCTCGTGTGGGCTCGATGGCCTCGACCATCGCCTCTGACGGGCAGCGTGCAATTCGACTGACTGAGCCATTCCCACACATCCGCCACACACACGGATGGCGGGATGTGTGTTTAAGAAGAGTGGAGGGAGAGGAGGGATGGACTTTAGTCGATCGACTGACTGAACTGCACTTGCCGGTCGTATGTGTGCGTGTGTGCGTGTTTGTTCATTTTGCAAACGAAACGTGTGCTGTGTGTGCTGTGCCGTCGATCGAGACGGCCGCACGCAGGCAGGCAGGAAGGTCGTACCGTAGCACCGAACGTTGCAACAGCGTGCGCTCCTGTGATCGCTCTGCTCTGACTGGCCACGAGGTTGCCGGCCATATGTGTCTCACTCACATCACCCATACGTGGTCACCACAGCCGCCCACCGTCTCGTACGTGTTGTCCTTTACTTCCCGTGTCTCTGTAAATTGTACATCCGGGGGGGCATCCACAGCATCTCCCTGGTGCATGCGCGTGCGAGCGGTGAGAGGGAAGGTGGGCTACTCTGTCGGGTTGACGTTTGTATGTCCCGTGTGTGTGTCGACGTCTGGGCACATGTGTGCGTATCACATGTGTCAGTGTGTGTTGATTGCCGCTGTCTGCCCTCTCCATCTCTCTCGGGTCGTGTTGGTTGACCATTGGCCATGGCCATGGGTGTGAGGTAAGGATGAGTGAATCATCAGCTGGAGGACCATCAGAGCATTAACAAATGCACACGCACACACCGATGCATGGATGGATGCGCACACAGAGGGGAAGGCCTGCCTGCAGCTGCTGCAGCAAAAGGTCTATGTCCACACTCATCCAACCACACACACGTACATTGATCGATCGATCGGCTCATCAAGGAAGGAATGAGTCAATGAGCGCATGAAAACGGGGCCGGGAGGATCAGACAGACGTCGAAAAGGCCGACAAGCCACTCAGCCACCCCCCCTCCCTCCCTCCCTCCCTCCCTCCCTCTAAGCAGACGGACATGGCCCATAGAGTACAAAGAAACAACAAAACAACCACCAAGCCGACCAATGACTGCCGTGTATGGCCAAATGCCCCGACTCTACAGTCCAATGATACTGAGTGAGTGAGTGACACAGCAGCCCACCCACCCACCCACAGACAGACAGACAGACCACCGTAGCGTATGAGATGGATGGGTGGGTGGATGATGGATGGGGGGATGATTGAGTGAATTGGTGGGCACGCCACGCACACCGCACGCACCGCATTGGGGGGAAGGATGGCAGCCACCCACAGAGAGGCCAAAAAACCATACACACAGACATGCATGCATGTCGTCGACCGACCGACGGACCGGCCCACCACCTCCGCTCTGCGGACGCTCTGCGCTCTCTCTTCCCTTTAGCTATCGGCACACACACCACACAGTCTCCGGTCCGTCGTAAAAGGGGGGAAAAGGCTCTATTCTCGCTACGACCTACCTCCGATCTCCTCACTCGCTCATTACCCATCGATCGGCATTCATCCATTCATCCACCCATCGAGCCAGCAAATCCACCCATGCACACGCCACATGCGATAGATAGGAAACAAACATGACCCACCCACCCACCCACCCACACACGGCACAGCAAGAGCCCCAGCAGCAGGAGGCACCCACTCAGTCACTCGATGATGAAGGGATCAGACCCTCGAGGGCTCGTCTTGGCCGACCCTCCCCCGACCGAAGACGACGACAGCTGTCGCGCTGTCCCGCTGCCCTCACCCTCACTCGACGGAATCGACACATCTCTCTGCACAGGCGGTGCCGAGGGTGCTGCACTTGGGGGGCGGGCAGCACCTGGCGGACGTCCAGGGGGCCTTGCTCCGGGTGGCCGAGCTACTGTCGGTCTTTTGGGCAGAGGGGACTGATTGTCGGAAGAGGGAGTCGGGGCGGCCACAGACTCCGACGGGGATGACGATGACTGCTCTTCTGGTTGCGATGGGGGTTGGGATGGCGGGGCACTTGGAGGTCGCCCTGGCGGTCGACCCGGGGGTCTCGCATTGGGGGGCCGCGCAGGAGGCATTGCGGGCGGCCGAGCACTAGGTGGTCGCATCGTGGCCGGGGACGCCACCGGCACCTCTGTTGGCACTTCTACTTGATCATCTGGACTGGGCTCGACTGTGGGCGGCCGTGCTGGCGGCCGCGCACCAGGGGGTCGAGATGGTGGCCGTGCGGGGGGTCTCCTAGTAGGGGGTGGCCGCTTGGGTGCCGATGCCCCGGCTGTCTCTGTTGCATGTGCCGGCCTCTTGGCGATCTCGGATGGGGATGGTGAGTCGCCGAGCAGCGGGGCGAATTTCTTCGGCGTGGCCTTGATCTCGCGTGTGATCTTGGTGAAGGCCTTGAGGAATGTGTCGAGCGTGCCGAAGATGGCCTCCATGTGCTTGGGGTGAGGCTCCTCCCCCAGGAAACGCGTCAGCTCCCCCACCGTCTTCTGCACCTCCCCGAAGCTCTCAGTCATCTTCTGGTGAAGCTCGTCAGCCTGCGCGCGGAGGGCACGCAGCTTGGCCGCCGGCTGAGCCCTCTTGCCCGACAAAGGAGACGACTCACCGCCGCTGCCAGCAACCGATCCCTTCTCTTTGTCCTCCCTCCTGGCCGCCGTCATGTCGCTGGGCGACGGAGACGCGGCTGATGCAGCCGAAGAAGCCCTCTCCCCTTCTGCTGGTCCTGATGATGGTCCCGCTGGCTCGTTCTTGTCCTCTTGCGTCGATTCCTTGTTGTTGCCCCCCCTCTTGAGCTCATCGATGACGTCGTCCTTCAGGAATAGCGTCGAGTGCAGCTCCTTGGGCGACACGTCAGCGAGGCCGAGTGGGGATGACTTGCTGGATCGTCGAGAGGAGGGCGATTGGGAGTGGGCGGACTTGCCGAGGCGGCGGAGGTTGCCCGTCGACAGGGGGCGGGTGAGGGTCAGATGGATGAACGGACCCGCCTGGCCATCCGACGGCTCTGACATCACACAACAGACAGACAGACAGACAGGCAGACGACGCCGCCATGCGTGCGAGGAATGCGTGGATGGTATGGTCTCTGGCTGCCCTGTCTGTCCGTACCTTGTTTGGTGTCCTTGGTGGTCTCCTGTTTGGTGTCCGTCGGCTTGGATGACGGCAGTGGCGGAATGGTGAGGGCGGCAGGCCGACGCTCTTCCATCTTGCTCTCACTCGCGGCACCATTCCCTCTTTTGGCCTCTGCCGCCGACTCTTTCGCTGCTGTGGCGTCAGTGGGCTGCTCTTGCGGTGGTGATGATGTCTTGTTGCCGTCCTCCACACCTGGCTCATCCTTGCTGGTGCCCTCTTGCCCATCCTTCTTGCCCACATCGGCAGCTGGAATTGAACCTCAAGAAGGAAAAACGGAGAGCACTCACCCACGTCTTCGTGTTGTCTACATCTTGTGTCGCATGCGCCTACCTTCGGTCTCATCCGCGGCAGGCTTGCTGCGGCCCCCCTCCTTGTCTTCTCCTTCTGTCGATCCTTGTGTCGGCTCCTCCTTCTTGCCCTCTTTCTCCGCTACTGTCTTGCCCTCTTTCTTGTCATCGCCATCGGCCTTGCCGCCTCCCCTGTCGCCGTCGTCCACGGCGTACTCTTTGATGTTCTCATCCTTGAGTTCCTCGTCGAGTATCGCCACGCCCTTCTTGACGCTGTCGACCCCCTCCTGCAGGATCTCGGTCGACACGCGCGCCGCGACGGGGACGAGCGGCATCTCGCTCGGCAGCTCCGCGAGCTCTGGCGCACGGGCGATCATGTTGTAGACGATGAAGTGCAGGGCCGACAGGGACGGGTCGACGGCCGTCTTGAAGTCGCTGAGCTTGAGGAGCGAGTTGAGGGTAAAGCCACGCGTGTGCAGCTGGAAGGACCCGTAGTTGATCCAGTTGCCCCACAGCAGCACCAGCTGCAGCACTCGTCGGAGCGACATGGACGACCGCACCTGGTGCGACGCATCGCGGAGGGTCACCAGGTCCTTGTACACGTCCATCTCGACCACCGGCAGGGCCAAAGCGAACCGCAGGACAGCCACACGGGGATGCACACGGGGGACGAAACAGAAGGGCAGCACGTGCCGCTCGATCTCGCGGAGCTGGGCCTCCTCACCCTTGACGGCGATGAGCAGGGGTCTCTCTTCGTCGGTTGGCAGGATCTGCTCCACCTTCTCGAGTTCCTCGCTGCTGAGGTCGTCACCGTCGAGCCACTTGAGCTTCTCCGCCACGACCGACGTCGGAAGCGTCAGGCGCGCACAGATGATGCCCACGTTCTGCGCCCGCTTGGAGTCGAGGACGGCCTTCTTCTGCTCGACCTTCTTCTCCTTTGCCTCGGGTTTCTTGGCGCCCTCCTTGGCTTGCTGCATGAAGACCCGTGCGATGGTTTTGGTGTCGACGAGCAGCGACGTGACGGCCGGGTTGGCCACGATTTTGTCCTCCTTGAACTCGCTGAAGATGGTCCCGTGCAGCTTGGCGTCGCCCAGTTCCTTCCAGTGGATCTTCCGCCCCAGCGGCGGCTTGGCCGCCGGACCGCCCTTGCCACTCGCGTCCTTGGCCTTGGTTATCGGCGGGCCCTTGCCCTTGACAAGTGGCGGACCCTTGCCCTTCAAGGGGGGGCCCTTGCCGCTCGGGGGTGGCTTGGGTGGCGCCGCCTTGCCGTCCTTGCCTGGTGGCGGCCGTGGTGGAGTGCCCTTAGCTACCGGAGGCCGGGCGGGACCTGCGCCAGATGGCGGGGCTTTCCCGGGTGGAGGGCGGGGAGGCACGCCCTTGCCCACCGGTGGCTTGACCGCCTTGGCTGCCACGTCGACTGACTCTGCCTCGCCTCCCTCCGTCTGGACGTCGGTGGATGTCGATGTGCCGGCAGCCTCGGAGCGTGGGCGAGGGGGAGGGGGAAGAGAGGGGGCTGAGGGACGGACTGGCCCGGCGGTTGCTCCAGACACCGACGCCTTCCGTGACGGCGGACGGCTGGTGCCTTCTGCGACTCCATCAGCTGGCGGCTCTTCCTCCACCCCGTCGAGCCCCGACGGCCCCGCCTGAATGGCCATCTCGGCCATCTCAGGCTTGGCTGCCTGAATGGGTGGCGACCCGGCCGCGGACCCAGCAGCGCCGGGCGGCAGGTGCTTTTCGATGCGATTGACCACGCCCTTGACGAACCCAGATGGCAGAACCTCCTCAGCCTTGCCGTCGAGCGGTGACGGCAGAGGGGCCACACGCCCCTCGCGCACCACGCCCTCGTCTGACGTCGACCGGAGCCGCGAGTCGATCGACGTAAATGGCGGGGCGATGGCGGCACCGACTCCTTCTGAGGTGGCGGGAGGCGCGAGCGAGGTCTCCTCGACCATGGCTCCGCTGATGGACGAAGGCGGCATCTGAGTGACGGCCATGCCCTGCATCGAGTCCGCATGGGAGGAGACGACCCCGGCCAATGCGGCCGGGCTGCCGAACAGCAGATGCTGTGCGTGCAGGATGTTGGGGGACACGTGGACGATGGCCGGAGGGGTGAAGGGGTGCACCAGCGGCATGTTGGTGGGCGTGTCCAGCCGGTGCACGGCCGACTGCTGCGCCAGGCCCGACGAGACGGTCAGGGGGGCCGACGAAGACGTCAGGAATGACGCCGACTCGTCGCTGAAGCGCTCCACGGCGCCTGCGATAGAAGGGTGCTCGCCCGACACACTCAGCCTCAGATGCTCCCAAGTGCTGTCGGCCCTCGACTCGA